GTGAAAGACATCAGAAAAGTATTATCCACCCACTTCTGCTGTTGAAACAAAAGGTCAAGTGTCAGAGCTGGCAGCCAATCCTCCAAAACAAGCAACACTGTACCTGAGAGGTAGAGTAACACAGTAGCTGAGCAAAGTCCAACCACAGCGAGCCGACCTGGACTGGAAGCCTAGTTCCACCCTTAGTATTTTTACAAATGCAAAATATGGCTAATAAAAATATCTATCCCATAAGATTATTGTGAATGTGCATAGGACACTGATACTTCATGTGTCAGTGCCAAGTTTTTATTCCAGAGACTTGACAAAGTCATCCATCTCTGTTTCAGGCAAGAGAGCACCTGAACTGCCCCCATTGACAGCTTTCTTATTCCTCCTATGAAGTCTTCAAAGGAGTTTCTGCACTCAGAGACAGGAATGGTACACTGGTTAAGAGCACATGCTCTGGGATTTCTAAACCAGAGAGTCCGTTTACCAGCTGTGTGACTCCCTTGCCCGATTTTAGATTCTTCATCTGTGGAATGAGGATGATGAGAAAAAATATTATCCATCTCAGAGGGTTATTATGAGTATTAAACCAGTCAGTACATGAAAAATGCACAGAATAGTGCCTGGAATGTAGTAAACGTACAGAAAATGTTAGTCATCACAATTCTCCTCGGAGATGATATATTCCAAATTTTTAGGACACAGAGAACAACAAAATAATAGTTGACCCCTGAACAACATGGGACTGAACTGCATGAATCTACTTATACATGGATTTTTTTTTTATAGTACAGTACTTTATATTTTCTCTTCCTTGTGATTTTCTTCATAACATTTCTTTTCTCTAGCTTACTGTATTATATAAAAACAGTATATAATACATATAACATAAAAATATGTGTTAATCAACTATTTATGTTATTGGTAAGTAAGGCTTCTGATCAACAGAAGGCTATCAGTAAAGTTTTGGAGGAGTCAAAAAAGTTATATGCTGATTTTTCGACTGTGGGATGTAAGGGGGGTCAGCATCCCTAACCCTGGTGTTGCTCAAGAGTCAACTGTATTTGAGAATACCATCCTGTTAGAGCTGGAATGACTCTTAGGAATCATTTCTAGTTCAATGCTCTCATGGTCTGACCAGCACTAAAACTCAGGTCTCCTGATTCCTATCCAGTGCTTACAACACACCACTATATTTCCTATTCTTAATGAAAATAGTAGGGTTGTTCAATCTCTTCTTTCTGCAAACCAACAGAAAGAGCCAGAGCTACTGAAACATTTGGGAAGAAATTTTACTCATCAAGATTTTCAGGACATACTGCTTCAGGGGCACATTTTGGGTGAGGTAGGATAGGTGAGCTATAATTTATTTCCCAAGAATCCATACCCAAGAGATACAAAAAACAAAAGTTTGAAACATTATTAATTCCTTTCAGGAAGAATTAAATATTCTTCCTTTGGAGGACATAATAATAAATATTAACTAAATATTCTCTAATTTTGTAACACAATATTAAGTGCTTTTTAAAAAATTTAATCCTCACAGCACAGCCCCCTTGCCTCAAGTTGCCTTCTTACATCCTGCTACAGTTACCTGGTATTTCCCTGCTCACAGTACATACCAAAGCTTATGCAATTGTTTGCTTACTTGCCTTGACAATCTTTCAGACTATAAGCTGAAAAAAGACCGGAATCTCAATGATCAGATATACCATTAATTTCTTCTTTCAACAGATATTCCTGAGCATGAATGAGACAGAAATGGTCCTGGCTTACTGGGGCAGACTTTACCTGCAAATATCTCTCATTCCACATGCTTTTCTTACAAAGTGACCTCAACATTCTTTGCATGGAGGTCCTTCCCCTTGAACATGCCCCTACAGACTACAGTAGAAGTGATGCTATGTGACTTGTAAGACTAGATGATAAAAATGCAATGCACATGCACCTTGTTCTCTTGGGTTGGCTCTCTTAAGAGTCTGGTTGTCATACTGAGGAAGCTCACACCTAGCCCATGAAGAAAGACCATATGGAGAAGTAACCAAGGGACATACCTTCCCCACAGTACCTTATTTGAAATCCTGACCCACAGAATTATGAGCATAATAAAATGATTTCCTTACACTATCAAATTTTGGGGTGGTTATGCAGCAATGGCAACTGAAATAACCATTAAGATATGGCTTCATATCTAACAAGGAATAAAGATACTGAACATGTGACGTCAAGGTATTGCCTACACCTAACAGTAACTGGAACAGAGTAAATTATTTGTTGAATGTCCAAGGTAGTTGTTATGCCCACTTTTCAGATGAGGAAGTGAGCTTTGAGAGGTTAAGCAACTTGCCCTAAGCCTCTCAGCTGGTCAATAGCAGAATAAATTAAAACTCAGATCTACACCCACACTCCTAACACTGTATTCTATCTCCCTTGGTGTTTAAAATTTTGCGTTAAGTATACAGTAATCTGTTTCAAAATGAGATCGTCAGTAATGAAAATATTCTGGCCAGTAGAATTCACCACGCAGTTTCATCACTGAGATAGAAACCCACATATCACCTTCTCAGAGAAATCTTCTTTGACCTTCCTAGCTCAAGCAATGCCAGCTCCCTCACCCTCCCCAGCCATTCTTTCTACTCCATCACAATTTCCTTTTCTTCACAGAACTTATCTATAGCTGAAATTGTCTTGCTTCTTCCATTTGTTCTTGTTCAGGTGTCTAATCTCTGTATCTCTGACTTGAATATGAACTCTGTGAGAGCAGGACCCTTATCTGTCCTAGCTATTTCAAGATCCCTAGTGCCTAGTACAGTGCCTGGAATATGGTAGGTGATCAAAAATTTCTACTGAAGGAGTAAATACCAATAAATATGCAAACTGGAAGGATAATGCAAAATGTAAGTCAGCAGGACTGTATCAGAATCATTCCATCCAGTAAGGTTGGTACAAAAAAAGGAGAGGAAAGTCCATGCTACCACTCTTCTACTTAGAAAAACCATAAACCCTGAATTCCAAAGATGTAGGTGAGGGGATGGGGGGGAGGGGTCACACCGATCCCCTATTCATAACCACTGTCCCCTCACTCTTCAAAAAAAAAAAAAAATCAGTTCTTCAGACACATTGACTGAAGCACACCAAGAACAACTGTTGGTGACCCTCTAACATTAGACATTCTATCCTTCACCTGGCCTCTCCTTATATACCAGTCACATCTCCCTGGGATGCTGGTGCTGTTCTCCCCAAGGTACGTTAGAAGCAGTAACCTAACTCTTAAGGGAGGATGTGAGGAGGAGGATCTTCAGAGCCAGGGAAAGGGTCTCTGCATAGGCAGGTCTTAGAGACCGTATTTCTCCCAAAAGGGAAAATGACTGCTCCTGAGGACCTACCAAGTGCTAGGCACCTCTGCTGGGCTCTTAAACACGCTTTAGGGTCGTTCCTTATTTCCAACACAAGCATTTAGGGAGGCCTCAAGCACAACTTCCTCGTCTTACCATTTCCCAAACCCGCTACTCCTTTTCCCCAAGAAATCCTCAACATCCAGGAGCGGTTAGGGAGGATAAAAAGAAACCTGGCGTGGCCTAAGAGACAGAACGGGAGGGGGGTCGTGTTAGCACAAGAAGAAGATTATACTGGGCTAGGGCCCAGTATGAGTAACGATTAAGATAAGAAGGCAGTCTGACCCTTTCCAAGCCCAATATGTCCATCAGAAGAGGTGATGAGAAGCAGGAAACTGAAGCCCAGCAAACAGGTGGCCCCGAGACGAGACCGAAGCTCCATGGTGGGAGGTGCGCGGAGCCACCGAGCTGAGCAGACGGAGGAGAGCCAGTCCTAGCAGAAGGTCCGCGCCGTTCCCCAAGTGCGGCTCAGCCCAACCCCTCGCGTTCCCAGATTTTTTTTTTCCTAACTGTGAAGGAAGTGATGTTAGACGGATGTGGGTGGTGCCTCCGGGGTCTGGTTTGAGATGGATTAAGTTTAAAGGTGCAGATCACGTAGAAGGGTGCGGGAGTTGCTCTCCTGCGTGAGCTGCTTCCCCTCAATTCTGGATGTTCAGTCCGAAGACTGAGAGGGAAAAGGTGGGCCGCGATAGTGGGGGTTGGGGAGAAGGCTCAGGAGAACCGTTGCTGGTTGCCTCAGCCGGCGAGGTAGCTCGCCGCCCCAAGAACCGCTGCACTTAATATTCACAACGCGAAATTATTGATCGGTGAAGTAAGCCGCTCCCTACAGCGGGCACGTTGCCCATTGGCCTTCCTTTTCCTCCACTAAAACAAACAAACGAACAAAAATCAAAACAAACAAACAAAAAAACACACCTAGACTACGGGATTCCATTCTTAGGTTCCTGCTCCGGTCACGAGGAGACCTGGCAAACCTGTTCTGCAGTGCATGGTCTCATGCTTTGCAAGAATGCCTCTTCCTGCTGGAGTAGCAGCGCTGGACCTTATTTTTTCTGGCAGCCACAGTTGTTCCACTCTGAGATGATGCAACTAACCGATGCAAGCTCCGAGAAAACCAAATTTAGGATCTCTTATTGCAAAACTGTCCCAGATCTTCAGGGAACCAAGACAAAAGTCACTGCAGACATTTAAAGCGTAAAGCTTCTTCTGGTTAAGTCTACTTGTTTTTAAACTTTGTGGGTTGAGTATCCGTCCTCAAGTTTTCCTCTCTGATTTACATAACAAACGGTAAAATTTCCCGTCTCTACTCCTAACAGAAACTAGTTGAGTCTCTACACTAGTGAGTCCGCAGTAGTTGACAGTGGGTACTTAATACTTAGTGAAAGACATGAGACAAAAGCACACTCTCAAACTAAAATACACACCTCTTTTTTATTAGTATCCAAACAAAATCTTGGGCACAATGGAATCCTCCGGAGACTGCAAGTTCCAGAATGCAGTGCGGCCACCTGCACCTGCCGCATTTCTAGTGGGAGGCGCAGAGCAGGCTGGGTTTTGTAGTTCGTATATGCGTTCTCCATGATAGTCTACCCTGGTGAGAGAGAGAGAGGGGCGGAGCCGGTTGTGTCACGTGGGCTCCGCTCCCGCCGCCGCTGCTGCCGTCGTCTTTCTCTGTCTCGACTGAGGCAGCCATCTTGCTCTTGCCGCGTGCTGTTGTTGGAGGACCCTCCCTGCTTCAGGTGAGACCCCCGGCGGTCCCGCCACTCCACGGCCATAGGCCGCTGCGCACGGTCTCCCCCCGCCCTCTTCTTCCGACACCCGCCAACCATTCGGGTTGCCACTTCCGCCGTGGCGCGCCGAGTGGGGGCGGAGGCGGCTGGTTTGGCTTGTCGGTTACCGGCGGCGCAGCTGGGGGTCGGCACCTGAGGGAAGGTCCCCAGCACCACCGCCCCCTATGGGGGCGAGCGGGGGGCCGCGCTGTTGCCGCCTAGATCCAGTCCCAGGAGGTGGATTACCCCCGCCTCTCTCCTGTTACTCTTCTTTATTCACAATAATACTGTGACAACAGCCTATCTGTTGTCATCTCATTTGATCGTCCCACTCTACAGATAGGAAAACTGAGGTTAGCAGCCTCTGGCCCCCAAGCGCTTGGAACTGAATTCCGTTGCAGCTCTCTTCACCTTATAATGGCAGTATTTGTTTACAATTCTGCTTCCCTCTCTGAGACATTGACTTGTCCATCTCGATAGCCCCATCGAACTGTCTGATGCATAGTAGGTTGTCAGGAAACAGATGATTGACCGACGGGCACCCTGTTACACAGCTAGTGAATGGCGGTTTCAACTTCCGTTCCCACGTGCTTTCACTTATACCGCTGTCCCCTCGGGAGTGGTAACAATAGTTACCGGTTTTTGAGTATATGTACCCTGTGCTTGATAACTTAACCTTTAACCCTTAAAACAACCGTATGAATTGTGTGGTGTTAAACCTTTTCTAATACACAAGTTCAGAAAGTAAAATACCCTTCTGAAGCCTTGATGGGTAGAACCTTGATCCTTATGATTCCAAAACTTGTGCCTCTGTTAGAGGAACCCAACATAGTAAAAAGTCAGGACTTAGGGTTGAAATTATTTTATCTGTGTAAACATAAAGTGCCTAGCATAATGCTTGTAACTTAGGCACTCAATAAATATTGATCAGAACCTCATTATTTACACTTTCCTTGAGTCCTTGAGCAAAGAGCTAATCGATCTTCGGATCCCCAAGGAAGAATGCAATAATTTACGTTCTTAGGAAGTTACTTCTTCGTTTTGGGTCTAGGAAGTGACTTCTCCCTTCTGGACCTTCATTTCCAAATCTGTTAAATTAGGAGGGAGGTGAACTGTTTTATTTGTTTATAACTTATGTATACCCTGCTGCTGCTTGGAGGTATTTGAGGTGGTCTCACATACAAGATAGGAGTAATGAGTACAATGAAGTAAAGGTTGGTTGAAGTATAGGGAATTAAGCCAGGTGATCTTTGAGGTCTAGTCCAGATTCTGAGCTTGACACCTCATCTCTCATAGACTGAGGCCAGTCCTCTTTTCTCCTTCAATTCCACATACCTCAACCTGGTAGTAAACAAAGGACCACCTTTCTTTCTCCCCTCTGGCCTTGAGTTTAGAACCTCCCTAAAATGCTTTTTCTCTGAGATAATTCTTGAGAACAAGTTTTCTGTTGCACTGATTCCCTGGAATGGAATCTGTCCTTTTTCATCAACATACTGATATAAAGAGTTAATTTTGTTTTTGCTTTTGTTTGAAACAAGTCAAGATTCTTTATCTTGACTTCAGTCTCTTCCATCTTTTCTCTTGGGGATTGTTACTTCAAAATGCAGAAGAGCCCCAGAGGGTTTACCCTGTGTCTAGTTCTAATATTTTCACTTAGCCCCTTTTTTGTAAAAAATTCCGTAGGCTCTAAGTTTCACTACACTTTCATGGCCACATTCCTTTGAGAAAAGTGAATATTGGTCCTTTTCTGTGGATATTGATTATAGACATAGGGATTTGCCTCAGCAAATTTAAGTCGGCAGAGTTGAGATTGACACACACCTAAGCCTTCTGGCTTTGTATTTCTCCTGTAAAAGAGTGTTTTAGTTGCTTGAACGTTTGTGATACAGTGCTGAGCAAAGACTGAGGAACTATAAATTCTGAATGTTATTTGGGAATTGGACTTTATTTGGCCTTGAAACATAATACACACATACACACACACACACACATACATACATACATACAGGTTAGTGCAGAAATAGTGTCACAAAACAGAACAGTTAGTACTTATATAATCTTTGATTCTCTTTCATCTCTCAAATGAAAACATTATCTTTTTCATGTGAATGATAATTATAAAGGGGTTAGAAAATTGGGCAAAAAGGCTTGAGAACAGCTTTTATTCCTTCTCTCACTTGGTAATGATCTATTCGTAATAATCTGTTGTTCCACAGAACAAGTAAAACAAGACTTTTAACCTTGGCTTTTATTTGTTTATATAGTATGGAATGTTACAACCCATTATAAACATTTTTTCTTTAGTAGGAATATCACTGACCAGATTAGGATTTATGACTTTATAATTTTCTTAGAATTTTCAAAGTCAAAATTGGCCTCAGAAAGGTTATTTTTAAGACTCTCCTCCCCACTAAGCATGCACAAAAATTTAGTATAAATGTAGCAGAGATGTTTTTGTCAAATTGTGCAGTGAGGAATTTTACCCTGTGTGCAAGAATATCTTGACAAATTTGACATATTGTATCAGTGCAAGGTATTGAATGAACTCTGGAAAGGGCTGCAGAAGTGCTGAATGTCTGAAAATCTGGTTCTTTTTTCCTGTTACTAACATACCATCTGACCTTGAATAGAAGATATGACTACCTCGTATCTTGACAGCTAGAGAGCCTATTGTTGAATTTATTTGTCTAGCTTTTTTTTTTTTGTTTTCTATTTATGAGCACAAGGTTATTTATGGCTCATTTATTATTTGGGAGAAAAAAGGTTGTGCTGATAACATTTGGTAATTACTCTCTGCTGTAAAAACTCTTTGGGGGAAAGCTGCCTTGTCTAATATAGAGATTTTCTAATTGGTTAGGTTTTACTGAATGCCAAAGAACTGAACTATGCTTTTAAGGAGGGACCCTCAAGTAGGTAACTTTGAATCCTGTTCTATTTTGTTTGTGTATTTGACTCCCTGGTGGTTTTATTTAATTTCCATTCTCTTAATATCTGGTTTATGAAGCTAGAACAAGTTATTAATATTTATTAAGAATATATAGATAGTATTAATATGACCACTGTGGTGATGCCTGTTGTAAGCCTAGTGAACCAGAAGTTACTGTTGCATAAACAGTTATTTTATGTTGGTAAAACAGTGATTTTTAACAAATCTATTTTTCCCCCCCAGATTTACCAACAGCATGAATCAAGAAAAGTTAGCCAAACTTCAGGCTCAGGTCCGGATAGGGGGCAAGGTGAGTGTGGCATAAGAAAAATTGATAGGAAAATGTATTATTATCAGAAAGTAGTATTATTTTGGATTTGTGGTCATTGAAAATCTAAAATCTTTTCAATAATCAATATCAAACCACATTCCAATTTGAAAAAAAATGTTTAGATTTAATATAGGTAACTAGAAGATTTCTCTCTCTGGCTGTGCAATGATAATAGCCACCTTTGTTTGAATCCTCTCAACATCTGGTAGTTATGTGATATGAACAAGTTAACCTTGTTAAGCTTCCATTTTCACATGTGCAACATAGAAAAAAGCCTGCATAAGATACATCTAAATATTAGAGTAATACTTATAAAACACCTATCTGGCAGGGGGAGTAGATACTTAATAAATGATAGCTGTTATTATGTTAGACTCACAGGGCATCCCAGATGTTGAGGTTATCTTAACATCTGGATATACCTATTGCTACATTTAGGTTTTTAAGTGGTTTAACTGGAGATGCTCAGACTGATTGTACTTTTGTTCATTACTAGGTTTTCCTCCCAAATTCCTGTGCCTACTTTTTGTTGGTCAATATGAGCATAAACATTCCTGCTACATGTACTTTGAAGCCTAAAGAAGAACTTGTTCTGAGAATCTTTGATTCCCTTCAGCTCTTGCCCCAGGCTCAAGGAGAATACTCTGCCCTTATCTATGCCTAGTACAGTCTTTATATAAAAGGAAAAGTGAGATAGTACTTAGCTCAGACCTGGATGGGGGTAGGTAGGACACTATGTAGCAACTCTACCTGTCATTTACTTTGATAATTACCACAACTCCTAAAAATGCAGATAGAAGGGGAAGAGAAGTGACTAGTACTTTCTCCTTCCATAGTGATTCAGTTATGGGACTCTTGAGTCATATTAACACATTCATGTAACTAAAGTAGTCACATTGTAGCATCAAGTATAATATAACATACCAATGAAAAAACTAGGGATATACAGGAACCATAGAATATACCTGAAAGAGCTTGATGCAGCACAACACTAATATATATCTTTAACCAGATGATTCACACATTCATTCATTTAACTAGTTTACTGAGTATTAGTTTACTATGTTTGACACATAGTAGATAACCTAGTCAGGGTTTTCTTCTCTTGACATAGTTAACTAAGTTTGGAAGAGAGACATGCTCACAATTACACTACCAGATAGTAAATGTTAAAATGAAGTACAAGGTGCTTTTGCCTAGGAGGGACAAGGAGGTCATCACTGATAAATCAAGAATTTATCACTAGGTAGACAGCTAAGGGAAAGTGTGAGGTGACCGAGGATTGTCATTCTCATACTTGCTAAGGCATCGAGGATGCTGAGATAACATGGTGCTTAATGGAATGGCTTGCTTTAGTTTGGTACAGTTAGAGTTTAGACTATCCAATGGATAAAGATGGTAGGAAATTAAACATAATTCTGGGTTAAATCATAGTCTTATATGCCATATTAAGGAGCTTAGGATTTTATCCTATAGTCAAGGGACAACCATATTGAAGGATTTTAAAAAGAATAGTCATTTTAGAAAGGTAGGTCCTCGTAACACGGAAAATGGGATGAAATAGAAGTTTGGCATAGAGAACAATTGAAAGGCTGATGCTGTAGTATATGGAACACAAATTCGGAGTTGGAATCCACATGACTCAGAATACAGAGAATGAAGAGGAGGGATGACCCCCAGATTCCTGGTTATAAAGACTAAGTATATGGTGGTACTACCAGCTACAAATCTAAGAAGAATAGTTTTGTGGACTGATAAGGTTCTAGACATGTTGAATTTGTGGTACCTGAGGATCATTTCATTTGAGCAAGTGATTGAGTTTTCCCTGAGACAGGAATGCTTCACAAATAAGCAACGATCTATGAAAATAGTCCTCCTGGTCCATCCTCCAGCAACTGAATTTTGTCGCATCCTCTGCTGCTACTCACAGAGCTCTCTTTCACTCCCACTAGCATTGCTGAGACTGAAGCCCCTGCCTACTGGTTCCCTGAGTACTGCAGGAGCTACCCAGAGAATGAAATCTCTCTTTCTTTCCCTTACTCCTGCCAGGTCCCAGAAAGATTTAGCCCTCAAGACTTAGGCTTCTTTTGGTAATGTTTTATTTCTGCTTTAGGTTACATTTTTGTAAATTGGCCCAGGAATTTAATCCATTATTTTAAGTAACTTTTCAGTGGAAATATGTATTAAGAGTTTTGAAGTATCTATTTAGAAATGAGCTCTTTCTATCTTCATGAATAATTTTCAACCTATTTGGTCTGGCCAAATTTCTAAACATCATTCTAGGTTCCTTTTTTCCTCATATCCCACATCCAGTCTGTTAGCATGTTGGTTCTTCTGACAGTCTAAGCTCTCATCATCTCCACTGCCAGAACCCTCATCTCTCGTCAAGACTGCTACAGTAGTCCTGATTGATCTCATTATAGTTCATTTTCTATAGCAACTTCAGTCATCTGTAAAAATAAGCAAGATCAAATCATTCCCAAGCTTAAAACCTTCCTATTGCAATTGGAATAAAATCCAACTCCTGCCCATGGCATTGTAGGCTACCTGATTTGGCCCTTGCCTGTCTTTTTGATTGCATTTTCCTCCTCCTCCTTTGTTCACTCTGCTCTAGCCATAACTGACCTGCTTTCTCTCTGTAGAAACAATAGGCTCACTCTTGTTTCATTCCACTTGAATCACTCTTCCCCTAGATTTTCCCATGGGTCTCAGCTCATAATGTCACCTCTTCACTGAACATTCTAATGAAGTAGTGCTTTGCCCTCATCCAATAAATCTTATCACTGGTTTTTTTCTCCTTACTATCCTTATCACATTTGAAAGGATCTAATTTGTTTATGTATTTATGTATTTATTCCTGCTAATGTATGCTCCTTGAAGTAAGAACTTAATCTTTTTCATTCCTAGATTCTAGGAATCTAGAACACTCATGTAGTAGGAATTTGATGCTTAATTATGTTAGAATCTTCAAAGTTTCAGAATATCCTTAGACTCAATTTTATTGTCAGAGGGTGGTAGGTACTGTGAAAAAGCATTCCCTGTAATGTTTGGAGCTTGTTATAAAACACATTAAGTTGCCTTGAAGTTATAAGTTATTTTTATTAGAAAACTTTTGAAACATACTGAAATGATAAATGGATATTGTAAAGAATAAGAACTGGCTAGTACTCTCAAAAATCCGTGTTAGGCTGCCAGTCACACAATTCTGAACTGTCTTCTTAGTCATTACTATTAAGTCAGCAATTTCTTACGTGGATTTTAATTAGAATAGGAAGACATGTGACTGCAGTTACCAGATGCAGGCATCCTAATACTTCTGTTTGGTTATTTTTCAGGGTACAGCTCGCAGAAAGAAGAAGGTGGTACATAGAACAGCTACAGCTGATGACAAAAAACTTCAGAGTTCTCTAAAAAAACTGGCTGTGAATAATATAGCTGGTATTGAAGAGGTATGATCATTTTGTAAATTGTTAAATTGTGTGGACATATGGCATATTTACAAATATCCACACTTTTTGAATGTAAAATATCAGCTTAGAAAAATCTGATATTGTCACTCAGGTCTCTTTGAAGAAGTAGCTGTTGAATTTGCCAATTGTATAATAATGGCTGATTGTAAAAAAAATTATAATAATTTTAGTGGACGGTTAAGGAATTCATCATACTTTTTGGGCTCAAAGAATTTGCACATATGACAAAATTATGGAACTGCTCTTGAATTTTCATGCAAAAAACATATTTTTTCTAATAATATAGAAATAAAGATACTCCAAGATTTCTTCAAATAAGGTAGACTTTTCCCCCGTAAGAGCACCTTTCTACTCAACAATATCTCTTTAATTACTTCAGCCAAGAAGCTCTAGCAATAGGCTTACATGGGTTGGATTTCTAATTAGACCCTTTCCAGAAATTATTGGTTAAATTTTTTAAATCATTTTATTATATTTTGGTGATTTGCTTTTCTCAAATATGTAACCAAAGACTGATTTTATTTCAAAAGATACTCAAGAAAAATTATGATGACATCAACTATTTGTGATCTGTTACCATCTAGAGTCACTTCTACCTGATGATTCCATTTCTGATAATAACCAATGTTTAAATTTTCACTGCCATAAATTAAATTGAATGTTTAAATTATATTTAATGATATCGTTACTATGTATGGTACCACCTCACCATTTTTTAACAGATTGTTAATGCACACGTGCTGTAAAGCAGATCAGAAATAATGCGGAGTCCAGGATCAATAAGAAAAAGCAGAGTACCAAAGAAAAGGCAGTGAAGTGGCCACATGTTCCTTCTATTATACATGTATGAATAAATATTACTGCACCATTTAATTCTGCTTTGTACTTTCAAAATTAGTATACTGAAATGGTAGAAAACGTAAGCTACATATATCTTTTTTCCTTTTAGCTTGATGTGCCTGTGCATTCTTAACTGATAAAGATAAGAACTTCATTTGCAAGTCTTAAAATTAAGCATTTTATACATTTTTTCTTCTGAGCTACTGAAAACTTCTATATATTTTTATTGACCTAAAATAATTTTCAGAAAGATCATTCTCTTTATCTGGGGTGTATATGAGAAAAAAAAATCTCAGCTTCTCTTAAAAAATCTAAAGCTTGATAAAAAAGAACAATTTGCAGGGTGCCTGGGTGGTTCAGTTAAGCGTCCAACTCTTGATTTCAGCTCAGGTTATGATCTTACAGTTGTGAGATCGAGCCCCACATCGGGCTCCTCACTGAGCATGGAATCTGCTTAAGATTCTCTCTCTGTCTCCCTCTGCCCCTCTCCCAGCTTACTCTCTCTCTCTCTCTCAAAAAAAAAATACATAATAAGTAGTAATAATAGACAGTAACTCTGATACTGTTAAACCTAAACAACTTGAACTAATAAGTGTTTTGGCAGTCTTCCATCTTCACCTACATTTCTACTCTCTGACTACTACCCCCATCGCACCCCACCACCTCAGCTGAAATCAAGAGTCGGATGCTTAACTGACTGAGCCACCCAGCACCCTTAAGGACACGTTTTTCTAAATGTTTGTTTTTGTTCAGATTTGGGACATTTTATGGTTCTTATAATTAATGAAACTTTTTGTTGTTGGATAGCATTGGTTTTATAAATGTTTTCTAATAAAATAAGGAAACCAGTCAATTAACAGTTTTTGATCTTTTCAGAATACAGCTAAACTTGTTATAGTGCTGTACTGAGTTGATGGTATTATTGTAGTTGAAATTGTCTTAATAAAGTATTTAATGATAGTCGACACTTAGTGAACATCTGTGTGCCAAGCATTTTGTCAAGGACTGCTAGGAAGTAGTGGATCTTATGATCTAGTAGGGAAACTAATTGGTTAACTAGACAAATACGAATTATCCTACTTCAGCTTCACAATATTTCTTTGAATCAGTTGTTGTTGGCTACAGATGAGGAAGCTGAGACAGAGAATTAGGTACCTGCCCAAGATCACATAGCTACTAAGTACTAGATTCCAGATTTGAACTAAAGTGTGTCAAAACCAGAGTTCATTCTGTTCTTCAATTTATCCTTTTGGTCTTTTCAGTTGTACTTTCTTATATCCCCTTGTGGCCCTTTCCTCTCTTCCAGTCTCCCTGTCCCTCAACACCCACTCCCTTCCTACCTTATACTCTGTAATATTGAGAACCTACCATGCAGAATTCATTAGTCACCCCATAACAGATAAATCCCCAACAATATTTCCAAGGACATTGCTGTTTCTTTTTTCAGGTCTTAATGCAGACATTATTTCTCCCAGAAATGTTTCCTGTTAGCACCCATACACACTTGTGTAAAGAAGGGTTAGATGCCTTTCCTATGTGCCTTGATTATATACTTTTATATAATATACTTTTTTCTTATATAATATACTTTTATTATAGCATTTATTAAACTGTAGTGTGAATTCCTTTTTATTGGTACTACTGATGCAATTCTAACTTGTTGAGGAGTCATACCAAAACATTGCACAGAAAATTAATGCTACATAATAGGCATTACTACTTTCATTGCACCCCTGCTTTGTGTGTGTGTGTGTGTGTGTGTGTGTGTGTTTGTTTGTGTGTGTCTTCCAACCCTCACAGACTAATTATAGAGAGAAAATATGTATAAAAATAATTAACAATGCAAAGTAACAGCTGTAAAATTTCTGAGTATTTGAACCTAAGATGGCAGGGAGTTTTACATTTTTCCTACTTTAACCTCTTTCTAAAATTGATTTTTTGAGAACTAAGATATTCATACTTTATATAACACTTCGCAGATTTTGTGTAGGAATATCTAGTATACTATATATAACATGGCTTGCCTCAAACATTATGTTTTGTGTTACTATATTTAAAGTAGAGTTTAAAAAAAAATTTTTTTAAACAAAATGAGGTATACTGGGTTTAAAAACAGCTTTTCAGAGGGAGAAAAGAAACTACTTCATTAAATGTAAACTTGAAAACATGTACAGAAGTTTTCAGAAACACAAAGATGTGAAAAAATACATCTTAGAATAGAAGAAACATATTACTGATTACAATTTTGTTATCTTTAGTTTCAAACAATGTTTGAAACTTGTTTCAAAGTATTGAACTCTGGGGTGCCTGGCTGGTTCAGTCAGTAGAGCATGTGACTCTTGATCTTGGGATAGTGAGTTTGAGCTCCACATTGGGTGTAGAGTTTACTTTATTATTATTTTTTAGGAAGTTTATTTTGAGAGAGAAAGAGAGACACAGGAGAGTCGGGGCAAGCAGAGAGAGAGAGAATCCTGAGCAGCCTCTGCACTGTCAGCACAGAACCCAATGCAGAGTTTGAACTCATGAACAGTAAACTGTAGAGTTTACTATTAAAAAAAAAAAAGTTCAGGAGGCGCCTGGATGGCTCAATCCATTAAGCATCTGACTCTGGATTTTGGCTCAGGTCCTGATATCATGGTCATAAGATTGAGCCCCGTGTCAGACTCTGTGATGAGAGCACAGAGCCTGTTTGTGATTCTCTCTCTCTCTCTCTCTCTCTCTCTCTCTCTTCTTCTTCTTCTTCTCTCTCTGTCTCAAAATAAATTTTAAAAAAGTGCTTCACTCTGAGGAATATACTATCTTTTTGTTTTTTGGTAGTTTAAGAAAAGCAGATAAAACCTTTCAAAATGAAGAGACACAATTGCCATTGTTGTAGAACAAAAATAATATTACTATGTTTTCCGTACTTAGACATTCAAAACATCAAACAAGTAGAAAGTAACTCAGTTTGTTGAGTGGGGAAGAGAAAGATTGATGGTGAGTCCCAAAAACTCAGGGAATGTACTTTTGCCAAGTAAAGTTTTAATCTTACTTTCTAAGCTGTTGGTATTAGCGAATTTTTCCCCCTCCAAAGCTTAATTTATGTCCTCTTCAGAAACTTTAAAAACTGAAGGACTGTTTGGATTAAGATTCTCTGGTCTTTTATGTATTCATTAGTTTGTTGATTTGGTGTAGTAAATTCGTCATCTATAGATTTCTGAGAAATCAAAGCTGTCAAAAAGTAAGGGGCAGGGGAGGAGAGTCAGAGACTGTTTCATACAAAAACCAAGTAAATAAGCAGGTTTTAGGAGGGAATTCCTAGGCAGACTCCAAAAGATTTATAACCCAGAACTAAATTCCTAAAAATGGTTTATATCCAAGATATTTGAAGGTATTTGGATGTTCTTCTTTTTGGTAATCTAGTTGAATATAGTGACCTGTCCTCACCTGATAACCTAAGTCTATTAACAATGGGGTCTGTTGCATTTCTTGGAAATGATTAATTTTACCAGATTTATTTGGTAAGAAACATCACCAAAAATCTGAATTTTGGATTCAGATGGCCTAGTTGCTTCATACAGTTTTATGTTCAGAGGATATCTTCTTCTCTTATACCTAGGATATAATTCTGCCTCTGTGAAACTTTTCCTATCCACTGCCCTTACCTTAATTTTTTCTGCTATAATACATTTATTACGACAGCCTCATATTGTGCAATTAGTGTTTGTTTGGTCCCCCCCTACCCCCCCAGATTATAAGAGTCTTAACAGCAGGGACCATGTTTATTGATTGTTTTATAGTCTATAGCATGCTGGCTTCCATGATGAATTTGTTTGGGGCCTATTAAGTTTAAAGGATACTGATTATTTGAGATGGAATTGTTCTCAATAAGTTAACCATTGAGGGATACTTGGCTGGCTTAGTTGGTGGAGTATGGGACTCTATCTCAGGGTCAGGAGTTCAAGCCCCACATTGGGCGTAGAGATTACTTTAAAAAAAAAATGTTTTTTAAAGGTAGTCATAGGAAGCTGGAGCTCAGGAGACCACATAAAGCTAAGAAATGTAACTTTTGTAATTGTATACATAAGTATTACTGTTTATATTTTCCTCTTTCTGAGTCTTACTTTTCCTGAACCACTTGTACCAGAAGGAAGACTTAA